GTATCGGTTAAAACATAACTGGCTGGCTTTATAGGTTAAAAATAAAACTAAATTATGATTAGTTCTTTATCGGTTATTAAAAGTATAAATTGTCTATGGCTCTTAAAGGACATCGCGTACACGAACCTCAAATGATCTTCAATAAAAATAGTAGGTACAAATTCTATGAAAATTCTTTCGCAACATCCTTATGTCACAGAGTAATATTTCTATAACGCAGTGAATTGTTACTAAGGAACCGGAAACATAGACAACTTTCTTTTTTTCATTCATAATTTCATTTAATTAAGAAAACATCAAGCTGGTAATCTCCTTGCGTTTTATACCATGTTACGAAAAACTTCTAATTTACATAATTTTTATGAATCATGTTAAAAATAAAAATATGAATAAAGGAAGCTTACATCCTTAGAAAAACTAATTATATCCTGACACATAGGTTATTCATTTGAGTCATAAGCAACAAAAACAAAAGGAAACAAATTAGGTTGTTATAACAACCTAATTCAAGTATTACAAAGAACAACGGGATAATTACACTATTTGACGCATTGAAAATATTCCTTAACATATAATTGGCGCAACTTGCTTTAATAAATGCCGGATATAGCAAAAAATATATGTAACTATTATTAGCTTTCGCCCGTGATTACGTCTGTATAGAATTAAAAAAACAAATGTAGTCTATGTCTTCTTCCAGAATCTTCTCTACATCTGTGCCAAGTTTCATCGAGATCCATTTAGCCGTTTAAGCAGCAAACTCTAACAAACATCCATCTAAACTTTCGCATTTATAATATTAGTAAGATAATAAGTATGAATCAAAATAATGTGTTACTTGAAAGAGATTTCTTATTAGATAATAGGTTAACGGAATAATAAAGAAACTATTCAAATGTTATTTTATTTCTATCAAAAATACCTATCTTATTTATATCTCATATCGGTAATAATTTTGTTTTTATCTGTATCAATGATAAATGGCGGGAAACGTTGACATCTGTGAGCGATAGTGGCGCCACCTGCCAGCGGCGAACCGGTCACGATGATTTAACAAATTTCCGATTGCAGTTCTATATAGTGGTTTTCCGCAAATGTCTTCCGTTGTGAATTGTTATTACATTTTATATTACGTATACCATAATTAAATCTTTAGGTCAATTAATAAGACGTGTACACATGTTTACGTTACTTATTTTATTCTGTAGAGTGTACATTTTTATCTATAATTTAGATGTCGCGACTTTTCGTGGAATTAAAAACCAACTATTCTTGATTTACGTAGTAACAAATATCTATACATCTATCCGAAGTTTCATAATAACAGTGAGATTTGTGTGTTTTTCCCTTTTTAGTGAAAAGGATTTTCTCCTGTAACTGGAAGCGTCTAGTTACAGAAGGATGAAAGCGCGGTTTAGTTTGTCCTCTTATCTCTTCACTTTATTGTCTACGTCATTGTTAGTTCATTATTCATAATACCTACACTTTTTGTTTGAGTTTCTGAGAGCAATTTCACGTTAGACTGCAAAAAAATAATCTAGCAAATATGATGCAATGTAATTTGATTCAATAGTTTCATATTGAAATTATATCTAAATCATCATCAGCCTGTCCTAATTCCACTTACTTGAATCTATCTTCCGTCATCTCAGTCTTCATTTCCTCTCTTATCTTCTCTTTATCATGTCACGTATTTACGTAATCCGTCCATCTCTTCTAAACCCTATCTCAAATGGTATACCTCACTACCCTAATAACTACTTTTCTTTGTGACTATATTCATTTAACTATTAAAATCATACTAATCATATCATACTTCATACTAATATTATAAATGCAAAGTTTAGACGGATGGATGTTTGTTAGAGTATATAGCCTAAACGGCTGAACGGATTTCGATGAAATTTGGTACAGATGTAGAGGATAGTCTGGAAGAACACATAGGCTACTCACCTGTTTTTTTAGCGGACGGAGTCGCGGGCGAAAGCTAATTATGTAATATTTATGTTGAGAGTTTGATCGATTGTAGATTGTTTCGCAACTAATTCAACTGTTTAGTTGCACAACTATAAACCGAGTATTTAGTGTACGAACCTATATACCAGATCATAGAAATATTACGACTTGTCCGATAGTTTAGTCGAAGGTGTGTGCGTTTTTACACTTATCAGTCTTGTTTAGTTCTCCGTTACCTTGAGTCATTCGCTCAATGACCTAACTAATTGCAGAAAATTTCTTCCACTGCACCAATTAAAATTCTAAAAGCAATGATTTATCGTACGATATTGTGATAAAATAATGCAAACATCTTGCGCAATACAGTAAAGGGAAAATTGTAATATTTATAGAAAATACTTCTTTCCGTGAATATATTTGATACAGATGTAGTTGAAAAGTACATATATTGCTTTAAAACCTTTTTCCTTACCCCATATTCACATTGGCGTTTAAACAACGAGCGTTAAAAAGTATCATATACGGGAGCGTTTAAAAAACGCGACGTTTTCATCGCGCAGTGTTGTATTTTGAGCGTTGAACGTAGAAACAAGGGTTACATTAACGCTAAGCGTTGAACATTAAAAATATATCAACGTCGAATTGTAAAATCGCCTGTGAGAATTGGGGATTCGTTGAAAACCTAAATTCCGCTACACAAGTCTAATTTTAACAGTGCTTAAGCTGGACAACGAAAACTAATGTCCCTTTCGCTAGTGCGAAATTATTATTTTAGATGTATTCATTACATTACATAAAATGTATAACACCATGTTTCCATAATTATGAATAGCAATTTATTCCATCCTAGTCTTAGGGAATGTCATTGGGGCCACATTTCGGCCTGTCGCCGCACCAGATGAAGAATTATGATTCTACTTGCCGCAGTAAACGTGTTAGTGAATGATTTGAGTACTAAAAGGTTTTTCTCAAAAATTGTTAGAACTATTTGCGTTTTTATAGATCCTCGTGACCGGATGTTGAATTTCAGAGCAATAACGTCTGTGAAAATGGCGCGACAGTGACGAATCCTTTTTATGACATTAAAAAACAGTGAAGGAAGTTGCTAAGGAAATACAATACAGTTGTATGAGATTCCCTAAATATTATGAATCATGAACAAGGAAGGTTTTGAGTATAAAGACCTCTCCTAGACAAAAGTTCCGAGTTTTGAAAAGGAATTCTTCGGGAAAATTACTCACCGGTAGAAATCGATCGACTATTTTTTGTGTATACTTTTTTGATTGCAACATAATTAATCACAGCTTTACTAAGAAACTGTTTAGTTTTTTCCGTCATGGAACTATTAATTTATTCTAGAGTCATTGTCAATTATCTTGTCTATGGCGCGTTACTGTGACAGATTATATTTGCATTAGGATTAACCGGAATAGCCTTTGGCTTTTAAGAGACTGGACATGTCAAACGCACGTATTACCATCATAAAAATATGACTAACAATTCTAGATTTAAGAGCTTATGTGCTCGATTTATGAGGATGATTTTTTTAGTAAGAATACAACCACACACGCACATGTGTGGTTGTCATATTTACTTCAAAGGTAAAAGAGCGTTCTACTAAGTTACAGAATTTATTTGCCTAGTCCGTTACTTTATAGTCAAAAGGAATAGCAGTCATGTCGTTTCATTGAACTATCGCGTCATTTCATTGAAAAATACTTGAAAAACCCTTTGATGTGATCCGCAGTATGGAGGAAAATAGGGACATGTTAATTTATTGGTTTTTGTATTGACGCTTGTGAAATATGGAAACGGATCTAACTACTGTTTTGTTCCTACCGCAAATTACTTACATGATTCATTCATGTGAATGCACTTTCAAGGTTTACTAATTTTTAAAACATTGAATCACATTTAAGGGAGTAAGAAAACTTTCAGAATGAATCTAAGTTTGAGTTTTTACTAAGTCAAATTTAATACCATTTGAGTCATCATTTTAAATTCAAGAATAACCTTGGAGTCTCGACTCTTTTTTTTAATCTTAAAGAACAACTCAAAAAATGCTGCGTAGCCAAAAAATAACGAAATGTGTCAATAAAAATTCATTCTAATTTTTCAGATTTATTAAGGCATAAGTGTCTTTAAAAAGAAAGTATTATTTTTTTTAATTAAACCAGTGTAACGAAATGTGTCGAACTGAATTGGTACAAAGTTAAAATTAACCAATTAACTCTTACATCTTACCGCGAAAAGGCAATTCGTTAAAATTCGGACAATCATTCACGCTGAAATTTTATATAAGTCCATTAGTGATTCTTTATAAGGCTTCATCAATTAATAATTCTTTCATAAAATTGATTGGATTTTATTACGTAGAAATTTTTACATAAAGTCATAACAGTATTCGGAAAAAATATTTTTGAACAATCAACTTTGATAGCTTCATTGCTTTCAGAGCTTGTCCACGTGCGTCCCCAGCCGACGGAGTCACGGGCCAAAGCTAGTTTACAACAAATATTATAAACCTTGTTTATTCGAGTATCCAAACAAACATGTGTACGTTTTATTTCCTCCACAATTTACCAGCTACGTCCTTAGTCAAATCTTTATGAATTGTTCTTATGAATCAAAAAAAATAAATGTTTGTATTTGCAAAACCCTCATGAAAATCCGTCTTGTAATTTTTGAGGTAATCCCGTTCGAACTTTAATTTATTAAATTTATCCATTTATAAACAAAATTTTCTTCTTTTGACTGAATTTATTTTTACTATTGCCAGTGTATTATAGGAACATGTATTTATATTTAAATAACAACAATATGAAATACAAAAAAAGGTTTTTACCTTATACATTTTTACAGTAAAATGTCATATAGAGAAAACTTCTTTCAGTTACAATTTTCTACAAACTCTTTGATTTTTTAATATAAGCGCCATCTATATTTACATGTGCGTACTACTTCGACATTGACTTTTGACTTGATTCCAAAATCACCCGATAGGTGTAGATCAAAGCAAAGTTATTATTGTTACAAAGTTATCAGCTGATATAACTTATTAAAGACAAAATAGGATTTTATTAATCATCAAGTCGTAAATAAAAACATTACTTTATATAAACCGGTTACTGAATGCACAAGATCAGTGATGTACTTGAATTTGCAAAGAATGTACACAAACATAAATGTGAAGTGATAGTTTTCGTATTCTAACCTATGAGAAGCAAACAAAACGCGATTAGGTATGTATAGTATGTGATTATTAGTTGCAAATTGTTTTTAGTTTTAAATTTCAATGATAAAATTGGTATTTATCACTTCTAGAAATTTCACGTCGGTTTTGACCTTTGATTGTTTAGAAATATAGCGGTCTTGTTTTAAATTCTACTATAATTGTACTTACGCCAGTTATGACCAGTTCTTAACATGTTATCGATAATCAGGGTCACTGCTTGGATTACATACATTATGCCACAATACTATTTATCCTTATTTATTGTTTATTTTTAACCGTATTCGTTTTTTTTTAACAAAAATCCGTAATGTAACATTTTAAAACAGAAAGTACGATACGAAATGAAAGGCAATAGTTTTCACTTCCATTCAACGTTTACATTTTAATACTTACCTTGACCGACGCCCCATCAGTGTTATTCGTAATGTAAGCGAACTTGTAAGATTTCAAACAACATATTAACACACATCAACTAACCTGAATGTTAATTAAGGTGTAATACGACACCCCACTTTGCACTAATGGCTTCTAAAACGCACTCACCTAAAACGTTATCGCATCAAGTAAATGTAACTGTGCGACTGACTCGAAGTCGCAGTCGCAGCCGGCGAAAGGGTTTTCTTTTTCTTCACACTCGCCAGACGTCGAAACTTAGGCATGTCCGTTGCAAGGCACGGCAAAACGACAATCCTCTCTTATTTCTATACGATTTTTTTCACTTTAAATCCTCTGCACTGCATCCGATACACAATTTAACAGTTAAACAACGGCAATAGATGGTCGTTTGTCATGATCGTTCGTTAACGCGGTCGCATCGTTCGTGTGTCAAGCGACAGTGTTAGCTAACGGGTGCCTCACCGCCTCGTGAAACAAAACCCACGTTAGGATGTAGACAATAACGTTACGTGATCGTGGATGCGGCAGCGGAAGCGCGGACCTAACTGGATATACCGTTTTCTGGAAATTATAGTCGTACGTGGGTATAGAGGAGCGCCAGAAACGAGCTCGTAGCATTTACTGGACTGCGCTTCGACCGTGCAGGATGCGACCCATTAGGCAAAGGAGCGTCCATTATTGTATTGTCGTGGGCTTATCGTTACGCTTGTCTCCTTACGGAGCGATAAACGTGCGAGAGACATTTTGGAGGTTATCAGGGCTTCGGGAATAAATTCAAATCGACAATATACGTATTTTTACGTCAAATATCTAAAAGTTTTCCCGCCAATTTAAGTGAAAGTTATGACGCTTATGCCGTAACAGCCATCGATTGGTACGGGCGAAACAAAAGCCCGCAGCAAAGGGAATTATGAAGTCACGGGACCGGATCCCGGATTACTCACGCTCGTTTGTTCAATTGGATCGGTTGAACATCTCCGAAGCTTCAAAACGGACCGTTTCCGTTTCACACAGGAACAGTTGGGAACGAACGCTACTGTTATTTTCAACTTAAATGCACACAAATTAAAACAAGATATAGACCATATAGACCGAAACAGAATCTTTATGAAGACTCATGTAACTTCATATTGAATTTCAGTGTAATTTCGAACTGAAAATAACCAGATGAGAACTGGTTGGTACCGCAAATGTGTTTGCAACCATCATTTATTTGTGTTCTGATATATGGTTTGATTGGACGCCCGAATTTGACCAAGGATTTACCGCAATAAGCATTGAGGTCATCGAATTGGCTGCAAATAAATATGCATGGTTCGTTTCTGTTTATATCTTTTAATATACGTTCAATGACATAAGAGTATTTTAAGAAAACGATTAACAAAGTTATTCATGTTGTAATTATAGAAAGTAAAAAGAGCAAAAAACATTTATTTCACACGAATATAACCAACAACGAGGAGGTTATAAGATTTTCATAACTTGTAAGTAATTATGTTTAAGAAATGTGAATAGAAAGCCGCTAATATTTGTAACCTATAATTATAACGGTTAAATGGCCGGGGCGCGGCTGTCACACCATCGTTTCCCGCCAATCGCGATACAGCGTGTCATAGAGTAGATGATCCCCTATCGTTTCGAAATTGTTACTGAAGTGCATATCTGCCTTAATCTACTCTTTTGAAAATAGAAAAGTATCGTATTTTACGAAAATTTGTGTTTTTCTAAATGGGGCGTTTTTGGTCGTCTACCAGTTAAAATTAGGCAATCGTATTTAAATACAGAGTTGCTATCATGATTTAAATAAAATTAAGTACAAAATAAATGTAATTGACCAGATCTGAACCGTACCGGCCACAAGTTGTATTAAGATACTGGTATCAATAACTTATTTACTATAAACTTACTGCTCGAATGGCAAATTCCGAGCAATAAACGTGTAATGATTCATCAAAACAATACACAATCGATAACCGCACTGTCCACATACATTTTCGCGGTTATTGGCACAGCCCAATTAAATGAACGCATTCATATAATCACGATCGTTTTTTGTTTCTATATTTTAAATTAAGATCGATTTTCAAATACTTTTTAATTTTAAAATTGGAATAATGTAACTTACAATAACTGGCCACGTAATAAAATTAGCAGGATTCTTTACAAAAGAAATAATTAAAGAGATAACGATCCTAACCTTTACTATCAGATAGTATTAACTAGAACAGTGCATTTTATTTACTAACCATTACTAGTATTAGTGGTTTAATTAATTCTCATTTAAACTGAAACCAGTTCATATCTATATGACCTAGATCTTTGTTAACATTGTAATTACAAAAATATAACAATCACACGAGCTCGTGCCAATTATCAGTCGATATGTAAATTACGTTGAAAATTTAATTATACTCGATTGTACATATATTTGTTAAGATAAATCTACACTAAGCTAATCGTTAGGTAACTTAATTATTTGCGTCAGTAAAATAAATACTTAGATATGGTAATACAAAATAGCATCTATCATAGTTACTAAAAATTAGCACTTTATCTGTGTTGCTATTCATAAAATTTAATAGAGTTCGTTCGTCTCTTGATAATATTTCGTTATGGTTCCGAATAATGATTAAAAATATAAACACGACGATGAAATGGGTAATTGACCTAGGTTAATATTCATTTGTTTGTGATAAAGTTGTCAACTTTCGCAAATCATTTAAACTTCAGACAATGTGATTTACATGAGTTAATTATCTGAATTGCTAAGTAACTCTTAATTATTTAGTTATTTAGGTTTAAAAATCGTCATTGTTGAATATAATATTGAATTTTATGTATATTGATTTGATTAAATAATTAAATCGCGTAAAATCTACTAAGTAACAATTTCGAGACTAACAATCAACCTTCGATAGCTCAGTTGGTAGAGCGGTGGACTGTAGTGGTTAATCAAAGACATCCATAGGTCGCTGGTTCAAATCCGGCTCGAAGGAAGGTGAATTTTTTTCAATTATTTTGTGATGAGTATTTTTTTATTTATGAAATTTTACGTAATAACTTTTTAACGAAGCTAAATGTAACCTTTTTTATGGGTAAATATAATTTTGTAACGAAATAAAAATTAAAAAAAGTACCCTGTTTCCGCCCGGGATCGAACCGGGGGCCTTGTGCGTGTGAAGCACACGTGATAACCGCTACACTACGGAAACTTAGAAATTGAGTTTGAAATTAAAAATCAGTTCGATACATTTTAAATGTTTGAAATTATTAATTTGATTTCTTGTTATTTTGTTAAAATAAAATAACATACCTTGTTTGAAGTGATGTGTGTGGTGAAGGTAAGTGGTGCTGTGAACTGAGTCACTGGAAGAGTTCTGTTGATTCGGAATATCTTTCTCTTTTTATACTAGACCAAATTGCAGGCATCGACCACCCGCTGAATATGCTTCATTACTTTCATATGAAAGGGTGTGTTTATTGCCGCAATTTTGTAATCCATTTCGCGCCATCTTTTCTATGATAAATTCGAAAAGCGTTCTAAAAGTAACGCACAGTGTACATTGCGGTATTTGTGAGACATGTATCAGGGAATTCTTAACAAAACACGCAATGAAAATTGAAAATAGCGAAATATTCGTACTCATCGTTGTATGAACACATTGAGATTAGACGTCTTAGTTGGGATTATAATGTTGGTAATAGAAATATTCTATTCAAATGTTCATATTTGTTTTTAGAATATACTAGCTGTTCTCATGTGGCTTCATTCACAGAATTTTATAAAAAAATTAAAACTGTCATTGCTAAATTCAAATAATAACGAAAGATTTTGCCATTGCCTTACAATTACCGTTACCATGGAAACCTGGCTTCTTTGCTTTGGTTGGCTTTCACTTCTCTACTGCAGTTTGTTAATATTTGTCATTTCTTTCACTCTCTTCGACAAAAGAGAGTACGCGATATGTATGAATACAAATGTAATTGGGTACTCCTATTAATATAGTAACTAATGTTTCCTCTTGGTTTATCAGGAAACGTCTTTGATAGCAACACTAAAGATTGACTTCCTTATTTGGCACAATTGTGCAAAAAATGTTGCGTATGCGATTACCAATCTCAAACATAAGTGGCTTTATAATGACAAGCTTTTGCCCGCGACTTCGTTCTTCCAAACTCCAAACTTTCATATTAATAATATAAAACCAAAAGTACAGGTTTTTTTTATATTTTAATATTCTTTACAATTAGATTTGTCTAAATAGGTAGCGTTTTACAAAGCGCCATCTGTTGGTAGCTTTGTGCATTCTATTAATAAATATTTAAAAAAAATCTATTAACAGCCTTTACGTTGAATAATTGCTTTCTTATTTTACAACAAACTGAAATCCGTTAACAAATCTTGATACATTCAGATAATTTAATATGAACTCATAGACCACGAACGATATTATTATTTAAAATATCTTTATTATCTGTTCCAGTTTCGAAAATGTCGGTAGAAGGTGTGATGGTCTCATACAATTACTCCGAAGACGGTGAACTGGCTAACATTCTGACAGTAGCGGCCTCTGGAATCAAATTCTCAAAACGCTGGGTGCTAACTCACGGGTCCATACTCTCACCTCTTAAAGAAGCCAATATCATAAAAAATGCCAAAGGAAAACCAATTTTAAACGAAGAGTTTTATGATAAACTACCAGAAATATATGTGACTTGCGAAAAGAAACAGTCTAAAGTGCCTAACGTTTACGAAGGAGTGGAGAGATTAAGTAGGGAGAGGAATTTAGATAGTGATATTGATTTTGAGCAAAGCTGCTATCAGATTAGTGTTCTTACTGGCAGGTATGTTTATATTGTATTTATCAGTACATTAGGATAGGGCGTGGTTGAGCTACCGCCCAGGGCGCTGGATCGATAAGGGCGTCACAGGCCAGCGAATTAGTCTATTACAAGCATGTTAACCGTAGCATACCATACAGTTGGAATCTCGCCCAGGGCAGAAGTAGCGATAAAACAGATGCTAGTAAAATATGACCTATGTATATAAAAACTCATGTTTTTAAACTTTATTGTGTAGTTCTTTGTATGTCTGCAATACCAATTGCAGTTATCTTTTACCATTAATTCCGAAAAAGAAGTCGATATCAGAAGGAAGGGATGTAGAGGATAATACCGTAGTATTAGTTAAATCTATTAATGAGTCATTAATGTTCTGTCAGGATCTGTCACGTATGGCAATGCCCGGTGCTGGACCGGTGTGTTGACGACGTGCTGTACAGCTGGACAGTGGGCCACCGCGATGGCGACCTCGAGCGCCAGACGCCGCTCGGCAAAGCTCTGCTCTCAGTCTTCGTACTCATCGACTTGGAGAGCGACAACCGAGGTCAGTAGACTGCTGGTTTAGTACGTGGCTAGTTTTGTTTGACCCTAGTTGAAGAAATTTATTACTAGGATTGTAGAAGCATCAGGATTAAACAGAAACTAACATCTGAAACATTTAGATCCTTTTCTAAAATATCCACTCACAATAGCGGGCTAACACCTTTGCCTAAACTGTCGCACAATAGTTGTGCGATTGTCGATTGTTTCGCAGCCAATTCAACTGTTTTGTTGCATAACTAGTAGTTTGCGCACCTCCATATAAGCTCTTTTGAGATATTTTAGTCAAAGATGTGCGAACGCTCTTAAGGGAAACAAAAGAACATGATCAATCTTTAGTTATCATTTATTTAATTACATTTTTTCTGCTTCGTTCCGCAAGAATGACGAAGTTCTGGAAAAAAAGTGCATATACGTAAAAAAATTAGACCGAAAACGGGAAAAGAATATCTCGAGATACCACGACGCAGGTTTTCCTTACCATCAAGAGGATCATTGGTCAGGGTGTAATTATGTCTCCAAGCGGTGATGGAACCAAAGTGGGACTGTATGGTTGGGAAGATAGTATAGCCATTTGTGACCGCAACCTTCTTTATCATACCAGCAGTCCCGAGCGCTAGGCCGCCGAGCAGGATAGCATGCTTGGACCGAAGATACGATGCTAAGATGGGTCCGCATGCAAAACCCCCTAGGAATTAATAAAACACACTTGTTTAGAAGTCAGGTAAAGTACGCATAACTGCGCACACCTGAAACTGAACTATCGCACTACACTAGGGCCTGTCCCACTAAAATGTAAATTGTTTGATAAAAATCCAACGTATAAAACATGTGATGGAAACATTGGATTTTGTTACCTTATCTGACAGTGATGTCATTTTTAAGCTAATTTCTATCTGCCAGTGGTGGGATAGACCCTCAGTACCCCTTTGATTCCTATGTTATGCAACTAAACAGTTGAATTGGCTGCGAAACAAACTAGGTACAATCGCACAACAGTGCCATAGTTTAGTCAAAAGTACTCTCTAACACTTCTTCGTGAGACAATTATAACATTTCAATTCAACTACTTTAATACGGAATTTTTTTACTAGTAGCTTCTAGAACATACCAAGGAAGTAGTTGTACTGGTCGTCTCTCTGCCTTGCTTGTAACGCGGCGTGGGATACCACGGTAAAGGTGGCACCCATCAGCGCCAGTGGCACCACGTGCATGGCATATCTAATTCAACAGACTATCAGTCGTTATGTTAACCGCATTTAATGTCAGAAAAATACACAAAGGGCCTGTCCCACCACTGGCTGATAGAGGCTCAGATAGATATTTCCATCATATATGTTACACGTTGGATTGTTATCAGACAATTTACAATTTCGTGGGACAGGCCCTAAGCATCCAAATCTTAAGCGGAATTTTATAGAAAAAAATGACTTAAGAATTATCTTTGGAGTTAATAGAATCGTATTACATCATCCCTAGTTCACTATACGACCCCACTGAAGGACTCGGAGCCTACCCTAAGTTAGGGTGACTAGGCCATAGTCAACCACGCTGGCCCGCTGCGGGTTGGTAGACTTCACACATGAATACTAAAAATTGAGCTCTGGCTGGCATGTAGGTACTCGTTAAATTCGTTCAAAAGGACTATTTGAATCCTAAGATTACACTAAGCAAGTACTCACTTGTTAGACGTAATTAAAGTCAGGGCAAAGTCGAAGTGCGCTGTATTTTCAGTCTATAGCACCATCAAGGCTTTACAATATTGAGATGTTTAAAGAATACCTTTTTAACACTGGAACTATTCCTATTGCATGCGAAAATAGCAGCACGTCGTACGTTGCGAAAATCATACCGGCTATCGTCCCATAGCGGCTGGTTACTAGTATCTAAAATGTTTACAAGATCAACTGGTATAGTAAAATTTTATCTGTGACTAACTCTATCTCGCGACTTAGTTCGCGCACAAAAAATCTAGTAACAAAGTAAAGCCTTCTCATGGCAAGAGAATTTTTAAAATCCGACCAGTGGTTTTTACTTGAATCCAATACATACAAAAATACAAATCTTTCCTTATTATAATATTAGATATAAAATTATGCAATGAATACTTGGTACCCCTTATAAAGAAAATTGAGACGAATGTGTTTGTCACAAAGTTAACGTGATAAGAAATGCATAATACGATTTTAATCAAAAACATAACTCGTGTGCTTTGCTGATCGCCTTATGACGTCACTTGTCAACTGATGGTACTGAGTAGAGGAGCGCGGAATTTGCTCAGTGTAAGTTGGAGGGGAAGACATCGGCAAACCCTTAAATACTTTCACTACGTAGTGACTTTTCAAGTTATCCCAGCTATGACGTCATAGTACATAATATGGGTTATTTTAGTAATTATTCTTATAATTTCTAATTTACCTTCTTTGCCAAATCACAGCCATCGGGCGTATCGTAATATCTATAATAATTACGCCATGGTTTATCTTCGCAGCCGCAAGACATTTTGCGAAGTCTAATTTGACATTATAAAACGTCATGTGTTTTTTTTTTTCAAATAATTCAGCTTGTTTTATTTTATCGTTAAGTAAATATAACGTTTGACCATAAAGTTGTAAGATTTTTTCTAGAGGTTCTTCTAGATTTCCCACCCCAGTGCTTCTGTTGTTGTGAATGTTCATTTTTTGGTCACTTAATGTAGGGTACCCGCTGCTCGTTTATCCCTTCTATAAAAAAGGTCGGATTAATCAACTTATATCTGTTGTTCCAGTGTTAAAGACTCTGCGTCCATTGTCAGAGCTACTGGACATGGTTCGGCCGCCGCCGGAGCGCGGCGCTCTCATTGAAGTCCAGTCCACACCATTCGGATGCGAGGTATACACGCGAGGAAACACACAATAATATAGTCATCTCTTTCATGCTATTTGAACATCTGATTTGTTAAAGTGAGATAACAATATTTGTATGCAGGTGTTCCTGAATGCAGTGACGCGGGGCTCGGTGTGCGGCGTGGTGGGGCGGCGACCTTCTCTGCTGCTCACTGACGCTGCCACTGCGCTTGGCTCTGAAGGCGGGCCTGTCTTCAATGAAGGTCCCACGTATGTTCAAGTTAACCTTTAAATTTTACCTAAATATGTCGAGCTGGATCGAAAAGGCAGGTGAAAGATAAACCTCGAAAACAAGTGGACAGCGCGAAAAAGGTAGCAGTTAGATGGATTTAATTTGTTGCCAAATTCATCTTGTTTGCGGATGGATTTTGTAGTGTTAAAGTTACGTTTTAAAGTTACGTTGTTAGTCAATTTGCCCACCCGCGACTCTGTCTGCATGGCTTAAAAATACACAAGTAACCTATGTGTTTTCTCAGACAATGCTCTATATGTATATACCATATTGCAGCGAGATACTATCGGCCGTTTAAGCTACAAACTCTAACAAATATCTGTTATCTCCGTCTGTCTAATATCCGTCTAAACTTTTGCCTTTATAAAACCGCAACTCAATCTGCGTGGAATGAAATAAAAATAAAACGTGAGTAGCCTATGAGTTCTTCCAGACTATCGTCTACAACTATACCAAATTACATCGAAATCCATTTAACCGTTTAGGCTATAAACTCTAACAAATATCCATCCATCTAAACCTTCCCATTTATAATATTAGTATTACAAGATTAGGACGATATCAAAGCTACACTAGAGACAATGCTTGTGACCAATATATGATTTTGTATGGCAGTTAGCTGAATTATGATTGTTGGTGTGTACCCAGTAGCGAGCTGGTGGGCGCGGTGGTGTGCAGCGTGTCGTGGTGGCGCGGCGAGTGGGTGGGGCTGACGCTGGCGGCGCCGCTGCGCGCCGTGCTCGCCGCCAAGCTGCGCGTGCCCCCCCAACACCCCCAGCACGTGCCCCGCCCTCCCTCGGGACACTTCAGCGACATTCTGGGTATGTACGCAACTAGAGCACGTGCCCCGCCCTCCGGTAGGACACTTCAGCGACACGCATTGTATGTATGCACTTGCAGCACTTCCCCTAGATCCTTTCAGACACTACGCGATACGCTGGGTATCAACTTGCCCTTGTCTTCAGGAAGGATTAGCACAGTATATGCTGCTCATACATCTCTATCAACCATATCCGAATTTATTCCTTTCTTAAGCATGTCCTCTTTCAACACAATTCATCTATACTTTCTTCGGTCTACCTTTATACCTTACAAATTTAATATGAATACTTTTTTATCTTGCCTTTCAATTTATCGACCATTGGCTTTATCTTACTCGAATACACGTATTCTTAATTTTAACCGTTCACCACGATACGTTGGGTATGAAACCAAGTGATGAGTAAATCATTTCCTTCGAACAAATTAAGTAAAATCTTACCGTGAAAGAAAACATCGTGATGCAATCTGCACATATCGGCGAAGAAATTCAAAGATACGTGTGAATCAACCAACCCGCACTTGGCCAGCGTGGTTCACTATGGCCTAGTTTCCCCTTATAGGCTCCGAGTCCCTCGGTGGGGGGGGTATAGTGAGCTGGTGATGATGATGATGAATTAAATGAATGTTGCTAGTTGCTATATCGTAACCAACAGTGAGCATAAAGGCTGATGATGATGGTGGTGATGTTTATGTGGTGATGACGACGGTGTTGTGTCAGAGCGCATCGACCGCACGACGGTGCTGGTGCGGTGCGGCGCGGCGTGGGGCGCGGGCGTGTACCTCGGCGGCGGGTACGTCGTCACCTGCGCACACGTCGTCAAAAACGTAACGATACACGCACTATATTTCTTAATTTTATTTTGGTTTTTATTGTAATATGATATTAGAGGATAATAGTGATTGGATTTTTAAATCACAATTGTTACAAAAAAAATATGAAAAACAGATGCGAGAAAGCGAGCGACGTATCAATACAAACATTTGGACTTTTTTTTCCCAACTAATTGACATTAAGCTAAATCTTACTTCTTACTAATATTATAAGTGCGAAAGTTTAGATGGATGGATGTTTATTACAGTTTGTAGCTTAAACGGCTAAACGAAATTCGATGAAATTTGTTATATATGTAGAGGGTAGCCTGGAAGAATACATATGCCACACTTTTAGTTTTTTTAAATTTCACGCAGACGGAGTCGTAGACAAAAGCTAGTCTATGTAAAAAAAACGAAAAATTTGTGAAAAACTGTATTTTCTAAATATAGTGTTTATTTTACCGGGCCGACCCTACACGTACGATTCGCAGCACACGATATACAAAGTGTCGCTGTACGGGCTGGGCGCGCGCGAGACCGCCATCGTGCGCTACAAGACGGCGGACGACAAGGCCTACGACCTGGCGCTGCTCTACTCCAACCCGCAGCGCTGGCCGCAGCTGCTGCCCGCCGCCTTCGCGCAGCGCCCGCCGCGCAAGGGTTCGCACTCCTCGACTGCTTCCAACTTGATTCACATTTAAATAAAACCTCTTAACTGCACTAATCTACAATCCCTTAAGGATTACACAGATCTCATTTAGTGACAAAGAGCGGCCATCTAAATTCGCCGAAATAGCGAAATGGACCATAGACATCTGCAAATGCGAATGCTTGGCGCAAAATATTCGGTTCTGAGCATAGTTGACACTTCACTTGACATTTTTCAAATCTCACCAGCACTACCACAGAAACGTCTCGACGTATCAAATTTAACATTAAGATATTACCGGCATTTCTTAAACGTCTTTAGTTCTATAGTCGCTTAGTGGAAAGGGAGTTTAACTGCTACGGTACTTGGTGCAGGCGAGGCGGTGGTGGCGGCGGGCTACCCGTACTTCAGCGAGGACAAGCTGGCGGCGCTGCGCCCCACAGTCACCCGCGGACACGTCAACAACGCCGCGCCCTCCATGCTGCAGACCTCCTGCTGCGTGCAGTCCGGCTTCAGGTGCGCTGCACTGCACTTCACATTACACACTACGTAATACACATTACACATTACACACTACACATTACACATTACACACTACACATTACACACCACATATTACACATTACATACTACACATTACACACCACATATTACACATTACACACTACACATTACACACCACATATTACACATTACACATTACACACCACATATTACACATTACACATTAGACACTACACATTACACACCACATATTACACATTAGACACTACACATTACACACCACATATTACAATTTCACACTACACATTACACACCACATATTACACATTACACATAACACACTACACATTACACACCACATATTACACATTACACACTACACATTACACACCACATATTACACATTACACACTACACATTACACACCACATATCACACATTACACATTAGACACTACACATTACACACCACATATTACACACTACACATTACACACCACATATTACACATTAGACATTACACATTACACACCACATATTACACATTACACATTAGACACTACACATTACACACCACATATTACACATTACACACTACACATTACACACCACATATTACACATTACACACTACACATTACACATTACACACTACACATTACACACCACATATTACACATTACACATTACACACTACACATTACACACCACATATTACACATTACACATTACACATTACACACTACACACTACACTTGAAAATTATTCAATGCGCGTTTTATTTTACAACACAATTTACACTCTTACTTCTTATAAGAAATGCGAAATTTTTGTTAAAATATTCGTCTAAACTCTAACAAGTTTGTACCCTAAACGGGTGAACGGATTTCAATGAAATTTGGCTTAGATATAGATGATAGTCTGGAAGAACATATAAGCTACTCACTATTTTTAATTCCACGAGGTCGAAGTCGCGAGCAATAATATGTATAGTATTCCATAAGAAAGACCTTGGTATGCTATGGTATGCATGATATACGTAATTTGTCAATAATGATGTTATCCAAGAGATGTTATCCATAAGATATTTATAATGTGAACTATTGCGTTATAGTGGGGGGCCTATATTCCGTCTGGGAGGCGATGCGGGGAGTGCGGAGGTGCTGGGGGTGATCGTGAGCAACGCGAAGACGCAGACGGGGGCGTGCTACCCCTACGTCAACATGGCCGTGCCCGCGCGCGTCTTCCTCACACTGCTCAGGAACTTCATGGTCGACAAAGGTCAGCATTTAGACTAGCAAAAATCATTGAATTTCAAAATTCCTTCATTTTAAGAACACAATAAAACCGACTGACTATATAAATTTAATCATAATTATATTATAAAGAAGAAAAAATTGTATGTATTGAAATAACTCAAAAACTACTTGGCCGATTTCAAAAAATCTTACACTATTAAAAAGCTACGTTATCAGTGAGTAGCATGGACTATATTTTTTAATTACACGCGGACGAAGTCGTGAGCAAACAGCTAGGAGTCTAGTATATTCGAAAATATCGAAAAAAGGGGTCTAGATATGAAAAAAAGATATTTTGTACCGATCTGAGAGGAGAGAATGTAAAAGAAGACAAATCTAATAACACCTTATTCTTCAAAATCGGCTCGTTCAATTATCGGTCATATAGTAGTCAGCAATGACGTAAATCCATAAGGTTCAATCATTCATTCAATCATCAGCTCACATAACCTCACTCTTCTACTTAAGGTGTTCAATAAAATGCCGTTAATTTAATTCCACAGATGAAACAAAACTGCGAGAAATCGAAAGCAACAAAGAGATCATTCAATCGCAATGGCGGCTGTTGCCGTATCGCTCAAAAATATGACTGCTTACAATTAACTTACAATTAATGTAAATATTTAAGTGTCCTTTTAAAAGTATAAATGTGTTGAACTAATAAATAAAATTGTATAATTTACTATAGGTTCCTATTTTAGGAGTGAGAAATGAGATATTTTTTTAAATATATTTATAGTGAAAACCAATGTATTTATGAGAATTTATTTTTACTATATTTTTTAAATGTCTACATTTTGTATTTTTATAGATTTTATTTACATTTAATTGGTTAAAATAAAATTTTATTTAATATTGTGTTTCATTTTGATTCTGTCAGGTTATAAAAACGCGTGCAATAGACTCTGGTCGAAAATATTACGATTTGACTCAACTTACCTCTATCTGAAGTTTTTTCGTTTGGACGCTAGAGGACTCTAAAGTTTGCTTACTATTTTAAATTTATATTTGAAACCATAGCTTTCCATTGTTATACCTTTTTGTGGAACAAATTATCAGGGGGACTCAAAATCATAAACATTTAAACAAGTTTAATCATATGTTTGTAACCCCCTGTACAATCACTGTCAAGTTTTATTGTCAGATAGATTAATTAAAAAGATTTTTGGTCTGTTTAAATTTTAATTTGGTGAACGATTTTGGCACAAAACGGTATTTTCTAATTAAACTACGAGCTCGACTGCGGAAGTCGTCAATTTCGTCGTCATATTTTCGACTAAAGAATCTGTGGTAGTCCACTGTATACGTCTTTCCCGGACACCTGTATTAGGCAGCAAAAACCCACATTTAATGTAATAAAAAAACAAATTAGTTATAGCTTTTATTAAATATATCTAGATTTATAAATTACAGAAAGCATGGTCACAATTTTTTATCGCTTCTGGACTAAAATTACCAAAGTAATTTACAAACTTGCGTTTACAGTGACGAAACATGTCTTTATACATGTTTTACAATCTTACAACTAATTAATAATTAATATTTTCTGAGCATCAAGTACAGACTTGAATGTATCACAAAAAATTATGGTCGCCATTTATGAAAAATTCGGACCACGCTGGTAATTTAGTTGAGTACAGAGAAATTTGGGCACTAAAATGTCTAAATTTGGACGTATAGGGCCTGTCCCACCAATTGTAAATTATCTAATAACAATCGAACGTGTAAATCGATCGAAACATCGGATTTTGTTCCTTTATCTGACAATGACGTCATTTTTAAGCTATCTGAGCCTCTATCAGCCAGTGGCGGGACAGGCCCTAAAATATCTAAATTTAGACGCTTAGGGTCTGTCCCACCAATTGTAAATTGACTGATAACAATCAAACGTGTAAAATGATGGAAATATCGGATTTTGTTCCCTTATCTGAATCACGTCATTTCAGACTATCTGAGCCACTATCAGCCAGTGGTGACAGGCAATAAAATGTCTAAATTTGTGCAATAAAAAAAACAGTGAATGAAAATTAGTCAAGTTTAGCAAATCAAAGGAAACTTTAGCTACTAAGTTACTCGGTTCTCGACTAAATCACTAGCCTAGTGAGAACTAGGCATTAAGGCGAGCCCACACTAATATACATTAGAATATAATATAGGAATATACATTTTAATTATTTTATTACTATCACTTGCATATGTAATTTACCGCCTAAATTAATAGAATTAATTTGTTTTAAATAAGAATGTGCGTTAATTTTTATCTGATAAAAACAATACATTTTTTTTAAACATAAATTTGAGTCAATTTTATTCTGAACTCGGAAATGAGATTTAAAAATATCTGCTTGATTTATACATTTTTAAATTTAAGCTATCTTTGAAGACTTGTAATTTATTTTATGATATGTTTAAAAATAATACAATCGTCAGATCACAACATGGTGTAAATAAAAAAATAATAACTTTAATATGGAGTAAAAGTAATAATATACGCAAAGTCATAGATAAAAACTAGTTTTAAATACAAAGAAAACACATTTAGCTGCAGTAATTCAACATAGTGAAATTAATTTATCATTTAACATATTTGCGGGCGCAGTTTTCGTTTATTGCAACTACACAAAAAAAATTAAAACAATAACTTTCTCTAGGAGACAACTATTATAAGTGTTTAGGTCTAATTAAAAAAATAGACGTCCGTATATCCTAAGTCTATGCATACTTATTAAAACCTTATGTACTTATAAATAAAATTATAATAACTTTATATAGCGTTACTCAAACTTATTTATTACATAATGTACAAAATTCTTACAAAATCATTAATGCAGGCACTGTGGAACGCCAGGTCTAATTTACTAAAAGATCAAGAATGTTCTAAGAGAAACAATGGCTAGGTTTTAAAGTATCGCTTTAGATTCAAATCTATATTGAGATACTAACTGCAACTATACTATTTTTTGTTGAAAAAGTAATCCATTTCTAATATTAATAGATATCACTATAATAGAATAATATTTATGTAATTAAAAAATTTTAATCTTTACTCTTTGTGCGTTCTCGGAACGGAAAAATTGCCAGCGTCGTGAGTTTTAAAGTTACCATTTACTCAATATTTCACTAGATGGCGCTGCACTATTAGTTGTCAAATGTAACTAGATGGCTCTATAATCAGTCACAGTTGCAGCAAAATGAAATTAGATCGTACTGAATTTTGGTTGCCGTCAGTTATAAATAGATGGCTCTGCATTCAATTTGTTTTAGACATCTATCCCATTTTTTGTTTTACGTGTCACAAGATGGCGCTGTATACAGTTAGCGTTGCCTTAGTTGTCGGTGGTCTCGCGTCAGGCTTGCGGCGGCTCGTCCAGCGGCGAGGCGCGCGGCAGCGAGCAGTCGGCTGCGCTGGAGCTGGCGGAAGCGGAAGCGGAGGCGGAGGCGGAGGCGGAGGCAGAGGGCGCGGAGGCCGGAGGCGGTGCGGGAGCCGTGGAGGTGGAGGAAGCGGAGGGCTCAGCTGCTTCCGATGTGCCAGACTCCCTGGAAGCATACCAAAGCATATTCTTATTTATTGTAACTCCCATACTTTTGAAGTCTCTTTTCAAATAATTCTTGAACCAAACAAACACGTTCCGAGCCACTAAGATGTTTAAACACTTCTCTTTTAGACACTGAACTTGTTAATAGCAAGAATTTCTCATACATCCTGAAGTCATATATTTTGACTTATGCCCGCTAAAATCAGTTCTATCGCCTTAAGGATCGAGTTATTCAGTAAAAACCGAGTTGTAGATTGTAGGGATTATTCCCAACTGTTACCCCGCTCTGTCCCCACGTGGGAACAAATGATAATATAGTTTTATCCGTCCCACCATATGCAACGATGGGACGGTTAGAACTTATTTTATTTCTTAACGGTTTGATTTGTCACCTTATTGGTGATAGTGGGACTAAGATAGGACGGATGAAACTTTTTTATTCTCATCCTTCCCCACGTGGGGACAGAGCGGGGTGACAGTTGGGAATAATCCGATTGTAGCGGGTTTAAAACTCTGATTTGAAACAATCGTAAAATCCTACAGTAGTATATAATGAGCACTTACTTGTGGAAGCCGTTGGTCTGGCAGGTGTTGTACGCGCCGCAGTGCTGGCACTTCAGACCCACCACGTGGAACTTCACTGTCGACAACTGCACAATACACAATAAATATAACACTTATACCCTCAATATTTTGACTGTTACATACATTAATTGCATAAACTTGTATAACTTACTAATTAAAATATAAATGCGAAAGTTTAGATGGATGTTTGTTAGTTAACTGTCTAAACGGCTGAAATTGAAATTTGGCATGGATATAGATTAGTCTGAAAAACACATAGGCTACCTAATTATTTTTAATTTTGCCGCGAAAGTCATGGGCGAAAACTAGTTTACTAATCAGTCACTGTACAAATAAATATATTTAATCACCTTATGACAATCCTTGCAGAGTATTGTAGCCTTGTAGTCCGCGTACTCTGGAGGCATGGGCGTCGCCGCCACCTCGGAGTCCAGGTATGTCCACAGCTAATGTAAAATAACCATTTTATGAAAACAAAAACCCAGTATAAATAGTAAACAAAATCCCTTTCTCCTCGCTTAAGATGCGACCAGTATAAAAACTCTATCCTAGTCATAGAGATTAAAAAAATATAGAGTAGGCGTAGTTAATATTTCACTCGAAATATTTTCACATCTCAGTAACGCTATCTATCGATAGAACCCTAAAACTACATGTCAATATAATTATTTGCATTAAAATTAATTGTTATTAAATAATGGTTATATTGTATTTTTAGACACTGTTTGTATAATAAAAGAACAAAAGATGGATCTTTTGTTCTTTTATTTTTAAATGTTTTATTCCACGTCAATCCAACGAAATAAGGCATTTGTTGGAACCAGAGACATTCACATTTATCTGTGCTATTCCACTATTTTTTGCTCTGTGACAGATTTATTATAATCTATGGTAACGCTTCATTTGCCTCTTTCTGTCAAACAAGTTAAAATTGTGCCATATTTTCCTACACCAAAATTACAAGTTTTAATACCAAAAGATTTTTATTCGTTTGTTCTGCAATGAACAGCATAAAACTTGGCAACTATAGTACCTTTTAGAGAAAGTACCGGTGAAAAATTTCACTGGTACATCTATGTTTCAAACATCTGTGTGTTGGTAACTCACATTGGACATATCGATCATGCTGGTCTGGCAGGTGGGGCAGGCGTAGTGGCCCGAGTGCAGCAGCTGCTCGAAGCAGGGCCGGTGCAGCAGGTGCCCGCAGTCCGGGATGTGGCAGGGGATGCGCGACGTGTGGATGTCCTCCAGGCACACGGGGCAGTTCGACCTCGATACATTCTCCACGCACTGGAATACAAATTAAAATTAACAATTTTTTTTATTAGATCTAAAATATTTAAAAATAGATGTGGGAAATTAGGAATATGTGGGGTTCAACCCAATAAAACTCCCAATATCAAATGTAACAAAAGGCAGTTCCAGGATTTCAGTGGAACATACAAGGAAAAGGCATTTGCCCCATTCCAATGTCTAGTCACCTATGCTAATCCCATAGACGTCAATAGGTTGCTGCCATTTCAAACTATCTCAAAAATATAACCTCTAAAATCTGTTTATCTACAGTTTACCAATTATTATAATTTGACAATATCTGTTAAGCAGAAACTTCACACAGGCCGTTAGTAATGAGTCCTTACCCTGTGTCCATCTCTCTGCAGTTGCACTGGTAAGCACATGTTACAGCGCTCGCAGTGGAAGAACCGGTCTCGACCTCCCACACGGCAGATGCCGCACCCCTCGCAGTGGTACTGACGCTTATCTTCATCATCAAATAAGTTGCAGATCAGACAGGTATACTGAAAAAATTAAGAAAAAATATGTGCATTATTTTCACCAGCTCACTATATGTCCCCACTAAATGGTTCGGAGTCTACCCTAAGTTAGAATGACTAGGCCTTAGTTGATAACACTGGCCAAGGGTTTGGTTAACTTCGCACATCTTGAAAATTCCTTGTCGATATGTGCAGGCATCATGAAAAAATAAAGTTTTTATGATTCCATGCAGGTGAAAACGAACAAGTTGTACCTTTCCAAACCTGACACCACAGTTCTCGCACTCTGCCTGCACCTTCTGTCTTGTATCACACTCTGTGCAGATGAGCTCTGTTACCGACTTGCGGTTGAAATAGTGCTGCTCCTTCTCATCATGGCAGTAGCGGCACATGTAGAACTTGTTGCAGCATGGTGTCTGCAAAAACAACTGATTAGTAAACCTTAAATAACTTGACAGATAGACTCGTAATTTCTAAAATGTTTTTGGTAAAAAACAATATAAGAATTATCATTTGCTTAAGTTAAAAAGAACAACAGGCATCATGTATGGTAATTTATGTTGTCATATATATTTAAAAATTAAAAATTGGTGATTGCTAAACAAGGTGCAATTGGACAATTAACAAGTGGAATACCGCAGTTAACTCCATTCTAAATATGCAAAACTGGTAAATCCATACTTTTGTCAGAGGAAATAACTTAAAGCTTTAGATAATTAACATTTTTTACTAATTACTAGTCATAAATACAATGATTAGATTACGCAATAATTAAATGATATATTTTATCTTTGTACTGAATTTCACATGCCATATTAAAAAACAAACAAATTGTGTAATTACTGGAAAAGACATTAGGAAACAGAAATCCTTGGACATTAAAAATAAGTTTAGTACATCTCAGAAATATAGCCTTGTGTTACCAATAAAGTACAAAAACCTAACAGAATAAATAACATTTATTGACAAGTTTGCAACATTATACTAAAAACAGCTTATGTCTATGACACCATCTGCATGGAATAAAAAAAGAAATTTCAGAGATCCATTCAGCTTAGGCTAGTGTGTAGTTGTTAGAGTTTGTGTAACATCATCCATCATAGTTTTGATATTCAGATATTTGTTATTGTTGATCTCAAAAAGGGCTTAATTCTTAATTTGACAATATTTTTTGTAGAAAAAAAAATTAACAAAAACATACTATAATCAAATATCACATGTTTTTCTCCAAGTTCAGTAGATTTTTTAAGTTGCTTGTCACACTGGAAACAACCGAATTAAGGTAAGAGATCTCTATGAATTTTGGAAGATGAAGAACAACTGAAAGTATAAATTGGCACTAAGGACACTGTTGACACTGTAATTAAAATTCTTCAATACTTTGTGCAATACAGCAACATTTGTCGAATTTGTATTATATTTATTTATTTCTTTAAGCTGTATTGTGTACCATTTTCTACCATATGTTATCTGCATGCATTCTGAATATCAAAAGTGAATTTAAGCAAATAATAACTCATTGAATTGGTGATAACATATTCAATTATAACATAAATAAATTTTATCAAAACATGACAAGGCCAATTCTAATAGAAACCAATTGTAACATTTATGTTAGGGCCTAATAACAAAACTAATTTTAAACACTCCGCTTAATAAAAGCTACTTACAATCTCACAGATGTCAAAACTCCAATGGAATTTAGATTTTAAGCATGGCATTGTTATTTAAGACTGGCTGTTGCTTGCGACTTCGCTCGCATGAATTTTAAAAATATAGCCTATGTTAAAAACCAGTCTTCTATAGTTTAGTATTACATCATGCTTTATGTTTTCAATGTTAACTTGCCTTATCAATAATTTTTGTTGAGATACATCATAGAAATATTGCAACAGATTTTTTTTTAAATCATTTTGGGTTATTGAATATTGTTGAGCAATATTGTTTTTTCAAAATTTTTAAACTCTTGACTAATTTGTATAAGATTAGTGAAAGACTTGTTAAAATTAACATTGCTCACATAAACAACTAGCTGTTCCCATGCGACTTTATCCGCATAAAATTATTAAAACATCATTTTATTGTTCACATTTGTCAAAAATTGCAAATTTCAAAATGACATGACATGATGTCAAACCATGGCAACCTTGCTTTCTTGACGATGGCAACTTATGGTCTCTTTCCCACATTAGGGTTTATATCCAAAATATTTACCCCTAAGTTTATCGGCGTGAAAATATATAGCCTAAAGCATGACATAAGTGTAGGGATTTTTATTAAAAAAAGAGTTATTCGAAAATATGTTGTGATTGCTGACATCTTAGGCAACAAAGAATTGTGTGTTTACACTTTATTATATTAGTATTGATTGCTTAATGTACTGGAGTAGTGTATGAGTGTTTTTCATACAAACATACAAACTTGTTATTATATTATATATGAAATTACCAAAAGTATTCTTTCCTAAGTAAATTCCATGTAAATTGACTCTTGTTTGAATTCACTAATGTTATCATTAAGCAATCAAGGCGTGTTTTACAAATTAGATACAGTAATTTTCATGAGTATTGCCTGATAAGTAACTTTGCATCAATTTACAAACATATCTACACACCCAGTGCGCCGAATTTCCAGAATTTGTATACTTAAAAGCCAAAATTCTGTGTCATCATCAAAGTTCGTTGACATGATCTTTGTTTTCTAATTTAGCAATATCAGATCCAAAAGATTTTACGTCGCCTTGTGTTTAATTATAGATAGAGTATTTTGAACTGCGTTTTATCTTTTACTTTGTAAATTAGAATAATGAATTGTAATACTTACCACAAACTTAGCTCTACGTTTGTAATGAGTACAACCAATTCGTTTTTCATTTGTTTGCTCTATGACCGCTGCACTATCACCATTCACAGTTTCGGCTTTCTCCTTCGACATTTTTATGCACGATAAAAGAATGTTCTCTATGTAAGTATCAGATTAATCATTCAAGGCTAATCAAAGCGATCTATAAGTCAACTGTTTCAATAACCATATTTTATAGGACATCAATTAACAGACAATCGCACACAGAAAATTGTGTCAAGAAAATGACAGAAGTTTTTTGACATTGACAATTGCGTGGTGTGTTTCTGTCAGTCTCGAGGTTCGTTCGTAAAGTTGCTAAAAATACATTTAGTTCGTATAGTTTTTGAAATATTACTCTAACTTCTTATGTATATTACAAATACTTTATTACTAAACTAAATAATTATTTTAAACCAAAACTAAACAATACTTAGTTTAATCATAGCGTCATCATGTGAGAAAAAAGTTGTAGGGATGCATTTTGGGTTTTCGGTTGTAACTTTTTTAAGCTATTTATATTGCCAAATTGTTGACAAATGAAATTTTCAAAAATTGTCAAGTAAAAATAATAATAAACATAAAAATTGTATTGTAAAATGAATTATAAAAATGTAGTTTTAGAACACATCTAAAGTAAAAGTTTTAAAATATGATACACATAAAATATTTGTCTTTTTTGTTCCTTCTTATTATTAGTGTGATTCAAAATTCTCTTTGTTTATTGCCGCCGGAATTCGAATGGAAAGTTATAGACTTTGCGTGGCAACCTGGTCATAAAGAGGTAGCCATAGCCACTAACGCTTATATACCTAAAAACAACCTTCCTACTGGAATAGCAAGATGGAGAGATAAACTCTTCGTTACAATACCAAGATGGAAAAGAGGTACAATTTGATTGATCGTCTATAATTTGAACTTTTATTCATTCTTTGTATGTATACAATAAATTAAAACTTCTAGGTGTCCCAGCGTCTCTCAACTACGTGCTTGTGAACGGCAGTCACCAGCAGGCACTGAATCCGTATCCGACGTGGGCCGACGCGTTCGTCCCCGATGGCGCTAAGAGTGTCAGTTCTGCCAGTACTGTGGTCTCTGCGTTTAGAGTCCACGTTGACAAATGTGATAGATTATGGGTAGTCGATAATGGCGCCACTAATATGTGCGGTAAGTAAAGAAAACTACAATTTTACTATAATTAAAATGTGCGTAAAACATTTAGGTAACGCAAAATGAATTGTTTAATAGAGGAATATTTGTTTATACAGAAAACGTGCGACAGATAGCGCCGCCAGCAATAGTTGTGTTCGATTTAAAACGAGATACGCTCAAATTCAAGCATTTCTTCAACGACGCCGTGCTACGAGACGCGACCGTCTTCTCCAGTATTGTTCGTGTCTTACTTTGATTTATTTAGACACTTAGCGAATAGTAGTTTTTGATGACATAAGAATCGGCCCACGGAAATTGTCTGGCAGTGTTTATTTAATCATTCTTACAATATTTTTCAATATGTGAAAATCAGCTTTGTGAAAATAGGTGAACTTAGGTTATTTTTTTCCAAATTCATTAACTAATGACCAATCGGTCACAGTACAATCGAATATATCTAATCGTATAACAATCAAGCTTGTAAATTTAAGTGTCGTCTGCTAGCTCTGGGAACTCAGTCTATCAAATAAAAAGACTGTCCTTAAAACAAAAGGATCGAAAAATCGGTATTACGGCCGTGGAAATCTTTTAGTCCGAGATCTATGTTTGGTACTGCACAGGCGGTGGACATAGTGGACAATGACTGCCGCAACACCTACGCGTACGTGGCGGACATGGGCGCGGGTGCTCTGGTCGTATACGACCTGCAGCACGACACATCCTGGCGACTGGAGCACACGCATTTCCAGTTCCAGCAGAACGCAAGCGAGTACCACGTTGGTGGTATTGATTTCTTCTGGCACGATGGTGTGTCATCACTCGCGTTGTCGCAGGTTGCGAGCGACGGGTAATTAACGTAATATTTAACAATCTACCACAACTTCTGGGTTGCAAAGATTATATATCTTTTCTGTGATATCCATACCCTTCCCTTTGATGTGAAATATAGCTTTACCCATTTGAAAGCTATTGAACTGAGGTTCAATAGCTTTCAAATGGGTAAATAATTTTGAAAACGGTTTAGTAGTTTCCGAGTATATTCAATAAAACTATCTATAATTTCTCTCTATAATATTACCATAGATTTCTAATAGTAACTAACTAGCTATATCTATACATATAAATAAAATTGGAGTGTCTGTAATATCAAATCGAAAACTCGGGAAGATGATGTATTTGCGTTGCTGATAACGAAAATCGCATTTAATTTTTTGTTTTGTTTGTCTGTCTGTCCGCAAGCCGCGTTTTTTCCGTGAAAACTCCGAAGCGGCTGCGCCGTTTTCGACCGGGATTTCACTGAAGGGTAGGTTATATATGCCCATAGAGGGCATATGGGCTACTTTTTATCTTAATATTGCGTGGATGAAGTCGCGGGCAATAGGTAGTTATAGAATAAAATGTGAAATTAACATACTAAGGGAGCGCAACAATCTAGTACAACGTTATATGGAAGTATGAAATAAATTATGTACTTGTTTTACTTTATACTAACTGTTGCCCGCGACTTAGTCCGCGCAATGTTAATTTGCGGAATTTAAAAAAAGTTGCCTATAATATGCCCGTCTATGTCAGCTTCCCTTCAGTGAAAGTCCGTTCGAAATCGATCTAGCCGTTTCGGAAATTACCCAGAACAAACGCGGCTTGCGGACAGACATACAGACAGACAGACAGACGGACAAAATAATTTTAAATGGGATTTTTGTTATCAGTAACGCAAATACATCATCTTTCCGAAATCTAGAATTTTTCCTTTGATATTACAGACACTCCAATTTTATTGTATGTATCGATTTACTTCACCTTATTCTTCATCTGCAGGCACCGTGATTTGTATTGTTATCCGACATCAAGCACCAAGATGTTAAAGATATCTACAAAACTCTTGAGAAATCCTCAATTCACACCACAGGATATACAGAATGGAGTTGAGGCGAGACGTTATTTTTTTTTTAAAGAATTAACTTGCCCTTGATTTAATGTTAAGGGTTGATATGGCCGTGGTAGTCCCTAGTAACTATTCTCCAAGGCTCCAATAATTCTTATTAAGGGAATCTTAACGCACACTTTTCACTAAACTATCGCATAACTGTTGTGCGATTGTCGATTATTTGTCAGCCCATTTAACTGTTTAGTTGCACAACTAAAAATCGAGTAATGTGCACCTCCATATAACCTCATAGGAATCACATCGCGACTAAATAATTGTGGAATAGTTTAGTCAAAGCTGTGCGCGCTTTAACAAATTGTTTTACCCCTTTGCTGTTTACACAACGAAGATTTTAGCTTGGCTTTAAATTTAGGGGGTAGTTATTTAGCAATGTAATTTAATTTAAACAGTGGATGAACGATAAAGTACATCTCAAAATAGATGACAGTTTGTTTGCTGTAGGTTGTGGGCGAAAAAGGACCTCAATCGCAATCCACGGCGTGCGACTTTGACTCCAAAAATAATGTCCTATTCTACACTGAGGTAAATCATACCTCATATTCATACTAATATTATTACTAATATTAAGTTTAGATGAATGGATAGTAGTATTTGTAACCTAAGCTGCTGTACGGATCTCGATGAAATTTGACACACATATGGAGAATAGTCTGGAAGAATACATAGGCTACTTTTTTTGTTTTTTTTTATTCCACGCGGACGGAGTCGCGGGCGAATGCTAGTCTATTTTAATGTTTAGACAAATAATATAATAGTAACCAGCGTAATTAAATTCAACACACAGAGCTACTAATCCTGCCAGAATGGCGTGCTTTTCTAATACGTCAGAGTGACATTGACAGCTGTCAGGTAGGGACGTCTCTGCCGATGTTCTAGTGTTGCCCGATTTTATTTTGACCGACTTCCCAAAAGAACGAGATACTCAATTCGTCTGTATGTTTTTTTTTTATCAATATTGTTTGAAAACAGTTTGCGAACGTAATAATTTTTTTCTGTAATGTTTCCTCCCAGTTGAGTAAGAACGGCGTGGGCTGTTGGAACCTGGATCGGCCGTTCAACCCTGAAAACACGCAGCTCCTCATCAGCGACTGTGTTGCGCTGGAGTATCCCAATGATATTAAGGTATTATGATTATATCCATGTCGTGAACTGAAACGTTATTAGTGCACCTTTGACTAAACTATCGCACAACTATTTTGTCTCTCTTTGATTTCGAGCTTGTATACTACTCGATTTTTAGTTGTAGAACTAAATAGTTGTATTTTTTGCGAAACAATCGACAATCGCACAACAGTTGTGCTATAGTTTAGTCAAAGTTGTGTGCCCTTAATACGTAAGAACGTCTAAATAATATATGTAACTTCAAATCTCTTGAGCAGTCTACTTACGAGATTTTATATATTAAAGCTATAGGAAGCTGTAGAACCACACGCTTAGAGTATGCTTCTGGTTTTACTTGGTTCTTAAACCTTTTGCTAGTGCATTTGTTAACTTATGAATTTTAAATTATATTTCACATTACACCTAGCCGGGTCGTAGACCCCATGAGGTAGACCAGAAGGTCACTATTTAGAATTTAGGTGACAGATGAAATGGATTGTTATATCCAGATTACGTTATTACAATCCAAAATTGGATACAATTGGTTGAAATTTACTAGTGCGAGTACAAATACTTAAAACTAGGGTTGTAACGGAACTCCGCTTTCGCATCCGCAAGTGCGGAACTTCTGCAAGAAATATTAAATCCGCATCCGATTCCGCTTCCGTTACAATGGCCTCCGTTACAACCCTTGAAGCAGTTTAGAGTTCACAGCACTAAATTGCGGGATCATTAGATTTGTGGTGGATTGTTTGTTAACCAACCCGCACTTGGCCAGCGTGGTTGACTGCGGCCTAGTCACACCTTATAAGGATAGGCTTCGAGCCCTTCTATGGCAAGGGCGGATTCAGCTTTGGCGCCAGGGGGGTCACATAGTCGTGGTCAAGTCAAGAGGTTGACAAAATATGTAAATATATTTTGACAAGCTCTTGACCAACCAGCTCAGCCCCCCTCTCCTGAGCTGGTAGGCCATGACCCCATGACCCCCCTGGATCTGCCCTTGCGCAGTGGGGACGTATGAGCTGGTGATGGTAGATTGTAACAATTTCACCTGGGGTTTAACATGGTCCAGATGGATATGGACGGCAATGTGTGGATCCTGTCAGACCGGCAGGCTCGCTTCCTCTACGACAGGATGGATTTCAATCAGATCAACTTCCGCGTGCTGAGCGCGGAGTCCACTGCACTCATCAGCGGCACGCGCTGCCAACTCTCCATCATAGAACGAGCTATCGCGTATATAAAGAAGTGACTATATGAACTCAATTATTTACTACTATTGCTACTTTTATGTTTGGTATTTCATTGCTTAATGTGTTACATTGAAAGTTTAGTTGATCTGTGTTAACTTAGTTTAAAATCTGACTCTATCCGTGTTATGTACAGATAAAGTTTTTACGCGAACGGTATTGATTTGTCTGTCCAGTTAGAACTGAGTGTTTAGCAATACAAGTTGTTTAAATTTGATTGACTAGATTGTGATGTAAATTGTATGTACTCTTATTTAGACATTCTCGTAGAATAGGATAGAAAAAAATGTACACTAAATAATAAATACTTACAAATTATCAGAACAAGGTGTAGTAGGAATTGACTTACATTCTCATGACCTTCCACACATTTGTCTGCAGCCTTTGTGATTTACCATTTCGTTCAAAAATCTTCTATTGTTAATTATAAAACCGAGATTTCTAAACGATTTGCTGCAAAGTTTTATTTGCTTTCGGGAGCTTAAGGTTAACGCGCATTTGTCCACTTTTTGCCCACACTCGCCGCCACCTCGACACTATTTTAAAGTAAAATTAAAAATACCATTTACATATTCCTCCGTTATAACCATCGATATAATATTTGCTAGATGCACGATTTAATACAAAATCGATTAAAACGCGGCATCGACGTAACGCAGAAATACAACAGTTACAAGTGTGAAAGGGACAGATTCGGAGAAGTTCGCGTCGCGAAGTCAAATAGCGAATGACATTAAAAAGGCAATCTGTCAATTCTTGTCTTGATGGCTCCGATTTTAGAGAATCGTGCATCTATCAAATTACATATAGATGGTTATAATTTTCTTCTCGTTAATTAAAATATCGTGTCTGTTTGCGAGGACCGGCGAGTGCGCGCACAGTGCGGCGTCCTGACCCGCCAGCCGCGGCGGGCGCTGCGTCGCCATGGCAACGTCCCATCGCACATTACGTCAGTTCCAGAAAGTTCTATTCGATTCACAAAAGGCTGCAACATAAATTAATTTCTGGCGTGGAAGGCTTGTTAGTTAAGCACTAAATTTTATTATTATCACACCTTGCTTCTTGTAATTTGAATAAATATAAATTCCGGAATATAAGTAGGAAACAGAATAATAAACATTGATAAAACGACAGCACAAAGTATTCCGAATAAGGGCAGTGTCCACATACTGGAATAATACTTTTAGGCACTTTTGATGTGTACTGACCCTTATTTTCAATGCTGCTCCCGCAGCTGTCTCTGTCCCACTCGATGAAGTTGACGCTCTAATGTCGCAGACGTCCCTTTCTTAGTACATACGCTACAAACTTGTCCACTTTTATTACCGGAATCTCGATAACCCTTTTCATAAATTTCTTCCAACTGTTTTAGGTTATTTCCTTCAATTGCGATTAATTTATGATTTTAGACAATACCGTGAAGCAACTTCCACTTTGGAAGAACTTTTCTTAAGAAAACGGAATGTTTAACCAAATTGTGTACACTTTTTGTAGATTTTGATATTTTATTTACTTAAAACATAGATAAATGGAATGTGAAATTATTGTTGAATTGTTCTTATGCACGCTACACACGTTAGGTACAAAATGACAGCTTTTTTGAACAGTGGAAGTTTCAAAACTGTGTGTTGTAGGCAAAACTAATTACAGTTCATCTGATGGTTAATATCCTGTCTAAATACGCAGTTTAAACTGAACACAACCGTCCAGTTAAAACTATCAGAACTGAACGTTTGTAGCGCGCTTTATTTCTTTATATTTATTGTTTTTTAAGATGTTTTTAATCTGGAGAGATGTTCTATTAAAATGTGAATTGTATTTTTTTGGATTTCATTTTATATAATGCGCGGTTCACACCTGGCCAGGAGCACTATAACTGGACTGGCAATGAACTGGCACAGTGTGAATTTTATCGCTTGTTGGCAGCAGTGAGTTGATTCTTCAAAACTATCCTACTGTCCTGGCCAAATGTGAACCAAGCACATTTTTCGTAGTAAAACAGAAACAATGTTGTGTAGATTTGTTGGAAGAAAAAAAATAAAAGATAATAAAATAATTTAAATATTTATTTAAATATACAACATTGTAATTATAACTATGTGAATTAAAGTCTATATGATGGGATATAACTAATAATTCAACATCGCGCCCACACGTCGAGTCCGCCTCAGTCTTTGCCCAGCGAGCCGGCAACCTGTACCGCACCAACCACTTACAGCCGAAACCAATATTCAATAAGATCGATCCGAAATTTTTTTAACAATTCAGACATTTATAAAATATAGAAAAGGCATACTGATTTTTTGCACTGGTACTTTTTCTGAAAGGCATCAGTTGTATTTATTTAAATATATTTTAGTTTTTTTTTTTATAACATAAGGTGACAAACGAACAAGCGGCCACCTGAAATCGCCAAAATGGCGAAGCGACCGCTGCCCAGACATCCGCAATTGCAGATGCGTTACCTACCCTTATACGACGGAGGAGGAGACGCACATAAAGAGTATATTTCCCCTTCCTATGCATCTCCTCTACTGTCAAATCCACTTCCCCTTTCCAACCTCTCCTTATAAGAAAAGGGTGGTAAAGAGAAAGGGACTTAAATTGGGCCTCCGGTACCAAACATCATTAGTGACATCTATTGGCAAACAATTTAATTCTAATAAACTAATTAGTTTTGAGGATTTATCAATAGATAGCATTAGTAATCATGTGAATGTCTCAAGTACAAATCCAACTCTATATGGAATCTCTTTGAGAACGGTGAAAATTTGATTTGTTAACCCTTAAATGCATGATTTTTATTTAATTATGGAATACATATTTCAATATAAGTTTTGAGCCACAGAATAAAGGAAAAATAATAAAAAAAATCTTGGTTTCAATAAAAACTATACTTTTGTTTTAGACTTTTGGCAACAATATGCATTTAAGGGTTAACGAATCGCTTTTCGATTGCTCCGATTTGAATCGACAGATAGAATTAAGATCGAATATTGATTTCGGTCATTAGTAACGCTTCTACTTACAATGATACACATAATTCGTTACATTCCGATTTATATACACTCACAAAAACCACTTTACAATCGAATTTTCAACTTTAACAACACAAGAAAGGCTATTTTTACTTCAAAACGGAAAACACTGATATGTCAGTATTTATCAAATTATAAATTGACTACATGATTTAATATTTAAAGTACGTAGAAAGTATTAGAGATTTGTCAGTGTTCTATACGTCCGATAGAGGGCGCTGTACAAAGTTAATGTGAAATTTAATCGACATTACGATACTTTCTCACAAATTTTCGTACTACCCCCTAATAACGGATACATCTTTAGCTGTTCTTTTCCCGTAGATTCTATTTATTTTTTTCATCTACAAATTCATTGTATAAATTTTATACATGGCAGTTTTTACATAATTACATAAAAAAATGATATTTTCATTTAAACGTAACTTGATAAAAAATAAGGGTCCCTAAAAACGTAACAGATAATTTTTCGTTTTTCATTCTTTTTACAGAGTCATAATTTAAGTATTTTTAAAGTACATAACCAAATTTTGCTAATTTCATTGTTCTGTACAGAAGAAAATGATAGTTATAAACAGATATCTAGCATGCAATTTTAGTCATATAAAAAATCATTTTTACGGGAATTTAATCGACTATTAAAATAGGTAATTGATGTAATATCCTAAATTCATTGAAGAACAATTTACAAACGATAATTTCGACTCAAATACGCATATTTACTAATCTAAAACTCGAGGCCCTACATGGTCCTTCGAGCCGGATTTCATTGGCGGTTTTAAGTCACATATACATAAAAAAATATAGAAACAACAAATATAAGATGTCATTTCTCAGTATTTGAGGTAAAAATAACCATGAGACGAGTAGAGTATTTTAAAAAGGACACATATTGATTTCAAAATCGTTAATTTGTCAGATATTAGATATTTTAAAAATGTAAATATAATTACTGCATAGTAATAAAAGCAAATTTTATAAACAATTCATTTACAAACTTCAAACGTATGTGCAATACAGAAATGTAGATTTTGATCTATAGTCAATCTTATTTTTTTAATTCTTCATTACGACTAAAGCCATCGAAGTGAAAAGCTTGTATATTAAATTTGTATGTGCGTTTTTTTATTAACAGCCGATCAATTAACAAAGCAAACATGGAAATTATTTACAAATTTATTGCTGTAATTTACAATAGGCCTAAATGTCAAACGCAATTAATTCTTACGGGTCCGCAAATGTACGTAAATCACAATTTACACAAGTAAATACGATTTACGCATTTATTACTATTGTAAGAGTGAAATTTACTTAACATTTATAAAACTCGACAACTATCTTATAGCGTCGCCGTATGTTTGAGTATGCTCATTTAAATTACAAAACATCAACAGAAAAATATACGTGAAACGGAACGCATTTTTAACGATGACAGCTGTCAAAGTCAGTGCTACTGCCATTTTTCCCGCCAAAAGGTGTGAAAGAAACTATTTGCTGCTTAATACCAATTTGTAATTTAAAGTACTTTAGTTCTTATACATTTATAAGTAAACTAGCTTTCGCCCGCGACTCCGTTCGCGTGAGATTTAAAAAAATAAAACTGAGTAGCCTATGTGTTCTTCCAGACTATCCTCTACATCTATGCCAAATTTGATTGAATTCCGTTCAACCGTTTAAGCTACAAACTCTAACAAACATCCATCCATCCAAACTTTCACATTTATATTAGTAAGAAGTAAGATTAAATGAATATACTCAAGCATATCAAGTCCATACAAATGTAAGAGGCTACTGTAAGCGTCACGTTGGTGCGTCAATCGTATTAATAAGACATATAACTATGGCGTAGTAATTTCTACCTTATTCTCATAGACATAGAGTCGTTTGGTCCATTATCTGGCGTCGTTGTGTTTGCGCTGCGGCGTGCCGGTGGCCGCCTCCAGGCGCTTACTGAGCGGCGTGTTGTACTCCCAGCCTTCGTCTTTAGGACTGAACAACTGGAAAGAATTATGTTATTTGTGATTCTTGCGGATATTTAAAAACAGGTTATGTTAGAGTGGTGTTAAAGTTTAGATGTGTTGACTATAGCATCATTTTTCGCACTTCACTCAGTTGGTCAGTAGTGCTCTACAACTGGCACAATGTGAACGCTTACTGGTACTCGTGAGTGTATACAAACTTTGACTGGTCATCGCAACTATCCAACTGTACTTGACAAATGTGCATATCCAATTAATATCTATGCTATCTATACAATTAATAATCTAATTTTCCGAAAATAAAAATAAGTCATTTTTCTATTTAATTGAAGATATACAAAACAAGGAGGATTAAGAATTACTAAAAAAAAGGCTTGAGGTTGATGTTAATGATGGAAGATAGTATCGTAGTGTGGTAGTGTCGTAGTGTTGTAGTGTGGTAGTGCCGTAGTGTGGTAGTGTGGTAGTGTGGTAGTGTGGTAGTGCCGTAGTGGTTTTTTTATAGAGGGAAAAAAGCTTTGCAGCACCGTCAGACATGGGAGCTACATGCCTGGTGTGTCGGGCTTTGGCTTAATAGTATTCACCTTACCTAACATGAGTCCCGTTACCGAGTAAACAACCCTCTCTATGGACTTTTTGTGCTCCCACGGGACTACCGTCAAGTATTACATTGTGGGGTCGGTCTCAGCAATTATGCTTTTCCTGCTTGCAATCTGCGTTTCAGCTCCTTGAGTCCATTATATTGGCTCTTTGCCGTTCTTGTTCAGCACGCCGCCGTGTCCTAGTGTGGTAGTGTGGTAGTGCGGTAGTGTGGGAGTGCGGGAGTGTGGGAGTGTGGTAGTGTGGGAGTGTTGTAGTGCGGTAGTGTACGGTGTGCGTGTACTCACCTGCGTGTCCCACTTGTCGCCGGTGTCGAGGCGCTGCTTGGCGAGGTCGCGCTGCGCCTGCTCCAGACGGCGCTTGGCGGCGGTGGCGGCCTCCGTGTCCGCGGCGCGCAGGGCGGCCGTCACGTGGCGCCACACGCGCCGCGACTCGTGCGCCGCCTGCCGCGACACCGGCGACACGCGCTTGCGCCGCGCCTTCATACTCGACACCTCGAATACTACTTCGGTACGCTGCAGATAATACTTTTATTTAGAATTCTTGGCCGTGAAAAAAATAACAATAAAAAGTATAGCCTATGTTACTCAGATAAATTACCATTCTAGTGGTAAAAGAATTAAAGTCGGCTCAGTAGTTTTTGAGTTATTTCAATACATACAAAAAGACAAATCTTTCCTCTTTATAATATTAATTCGTCCCCGTGTATTTTTTTTTTATGAAAACAGCCTATGTTACTCACAGATAAATTACCTTTCTAATGATAAAATAATTTTTAAAATCGGCCCAGTAGTTTTTGAGTTATTTCAGTACATACAAAAATAAAAAATTTTCCTCTTTATAATATTAGTATAGATAAAATTCGTCCCGGTGTAATATTTTTCTTTTATGAAAAACAACCAATGTTAATTGTTAAATTCCAAAAAAAAAAACTTAAATTTCAAATTACTTACTCCCTTCATTTGTTATATAGCGTAAAAGATATATACCCAAAAGCGTTTCGTAAGTGTAGGGCTTTTTATTAAAAAAGGATAATTCAAAAATATGCTGCGATTGCTGACATCTTGGGCAACAAAAAAAGAAATGTGTGTTTACGCTTTATTATATTAGTATAGATAGAAGAAAAATGCAATAAATCGGTTGACAATGGTAGAATTGAAATTGCAGGTTTCCAATTTCGTTGTATCTCTTACCCCGGATTCCATCCACCTCCCATCCATCCTGGTGTTCCACTCCCCCTGTGCGGTGTAATACGCCTTCTTCTCGTTGGCGGCAAACACCTCGCAGATGACGCGGTGCTTCTTGCCGCCGTAGAAAGGCTTCGTGAGGAACTCCACGTTGGCCTTGTGTCCCGTCTGCGGACACTCGATGCACACTGAACCACCCAACTCTATCCATGGTACTGTTAAGATCGATCTGTAACGAAAAATATGCTTCAAATCTGTTTTACAATGTTTTTTTGAAACCGAAACACTTGAAAGCTGTTGACCAAAATCAAAATCATAGAATAATATTCATCAAAAGTTTTTAGTAAACAATTGCATCTTCAGTGCCACAAACTAGCTATCTACAAGTTCACATTGAATAATAAAAAAAAAATTCTTAAACAGTTTAGTACAGTTAGTGGGACTCTGTCTCCAGAGCTAGTAATAACTGTGTTTCAGGAGGCAACGTCTTCTTAATAATGATTGTAGCCAGGGGGGGAGCAGCCCCACTTAAAAATCTTCCTAATATTACAGATGCCAACTTGTAGATGGATGGATGTTTTTAAGTTTATACCCTAAACTACTAGACGGACCTCTGTGGAATTTGGCATAAATTTAGAAGTTAAACTGTTTAAAATTATAACATTATCAGAAACCGAAACTAAGCTACACGTGAATTAATTCGTATTTAATATAGAGGTCAGCCTGGAAGAACGCGTATACTACATACTTTTGTTATTTTAATTCCACGCAAACAGTCTCGCGGGCAAAATTAGTTAAAAAATATAAAAAAACTACCTCTAAAAGTCCATACAAATAGTAGCCAACTCTAGACATAGCCTTACTGTTACCAACCTTCATAGTTTATATACTTTGGACGCCGAATAGCATTTAAAAGGCAAAAGAATGTGAAAATTACTTACCGTCCATATCCATTAGGGAAGGTGACAGTATATTCCTCTCCATAGTCCAACAGGGTGACCACACCTCGTCCTATATTATGGACACCGATAGAAAGTCCTAGAAACTTGCTCTTTGTCCACACCCAGGCATCGAATTGTATCCTCTTATTGACATGTTCCGCGTAAAATGCACTGATCGGCGGGTGATGGGACACTTGTTCCGCCACAAAGGAGAGTTGCTCCGGAGAGCACCAGGGGACGGGACCGTCGCCTACTTCTAGCTGGAAAATTATTTAAAAAACGCAGATATTGTATTCAATCTAGATAATCCTAACATTGACTCGATTCTTAAAACAAAGTTTATTAGTTTCTTTAAATATGTTTTATTCATACATGTAGATTGCAAAATTTTTACTATATTCTCGCATCATGCATAAATTTTGCTTTTTACTAACTTACTATTATAAATGCGGAAGTTTGGATGGATGGATGTATATTTAGAATTTGTAGTCTAAATTGCTAAACGGTTTTCGATGAATTTTGACATATGAATTAAATCATATTAAAGAACGATATAGTTACCTTGTCAGTAGAGGAGTTGTGTGAATCGTTAGCGCCGTCGAGGTCCCAGTGGCAGCGGAAGACCTCGCCCAGCACGGGGTTGTAGGGCTTCTTGGCCACCTGCGACTTGCGGCCGGCGTGGTACGAGCTCAGGTACCAGCGCACCACCTGCACCATGCGCTCCTTGGGGGACGGCATGTCCACTATTCTGGAAAACAATGGCAATACAGACAAATATAAAAAAATAGTTTATTATAAACCGGTGGACACATGCAAATACCAACATCTTTTTTCAAAAAGATTTTATTTTTTTTAGGTTTAATTTCAATTTCAACTGAACATAACCGTGCAGTTAAAACTGACGTGTGCTGACAAAAGTGACAACTGTACATTTAAACTGACAGGTCAGTTTTAAATGTACAATTTATATCATCATCACCAGCTCACTATATGTCCCCACCGAGGGGCACGGAGCCTACCCTAAATAAGGGTGACTAGGCCATAGTCAACCACGCTGGCCAAGTGCGGGTTGGTTGACTTCACACATATCTTTGAATTTCTTCGCCGATATGTGCAGGTTGTATCACGATGTTTTCGTTCACCGTAAGAACGTCGGGTAAATTATGTACATATGAAAATTCGAAAAATCGAAAATCACATTGGTACACGACGGGATTCGAACCCAAGACCTGTAGATTACAAGTAAAGTGCTTAAACCACTGAGCCACCGACGCTTGTATACACAGTTAAAACTATATGTATGTACATGTAACTATGGGTGTATCTTTCTAACAAGTGATAAAATAAAACAATTTATGTACCTCGAACTTTAGTATCTAAATTGTATAAGATAAAAATTGTATTTTAAATTTCAACACAAGTATATATTTGTTTCTATTTTCCCAACTAGAATGAGAGAGATGACAACATATCCAAATATTTAGGTGTAAATTTACTAACTTGACAAACTGGTCGGGATGTGCAAACGAATCCGCGTACATCTCGAGTAGCGATCTCCGCTCCAGTATGAATGTAGGGAGCACCACCTGGAACAGAGAACAACATAGTTAGGTTAAAATTGTAGATAGATTGCGAATCTATTACGCCATGGGTATTCTTAACTCGGTAAATAGTTCACTTAGCACGAATTACATTGTATTCAATCGATTTCTAATTTAACAGTGGTAGAGTCTTTAACATCTTCGCAGGAAGGAGACGGCTCTCCTTGTGTAATACTACGACCACACAGAAGACGCGTCAAGTGGAAGCTAGTCTGCGTTTCGTCTTGCAAATAAGCGTGTCTGAGGCTTAATTTTAGTCCCTTTCCATTTCCACCCTTATCTATTAAGGAAAGGATGGGAAGGAAATTTTATTTTACGGACGTCTCCTTTTTCGGCGAATTCAGGTGGTCGCTCGCTGGTTTGACATCACGTTTTTTAAAAATGTAAAGAAGTGTGCCAGAGCGAGTCATATTCGATATATCGGGAAATACATTTTTTTGGAATTGAATAGTTTTCTAGTTACATAAATTTTTGTTTATCATATCTATTTGAGGTCAAAAGAGTCATTAATGCTCAAAATAAGTCAACTTTGTTGTCGTTCTCTGAATTAGGGAAGTTTGATTTTACTGTTTGCAATTGCAGCGGAAAGAGGTTGAAATAATTCACTTGCGTCATATCCTTTCCAATACAATGTAACTTCAAGGTAAAATTTATTACCGTGCTTATATACATAGAAAATATATAAATAACAACATTATTGGTAAAATGTTACATTGAAAATTTGTCGTCGATTCAAAATTAGTCAACTAATTTCCAGCGAAATCACTAGATATTATAAAACAATGTCGTTTTTCGCTGTCTGTCTGTCTGTATCTATGTTTAGATTTTTAAAACTAAGTAACGGATTTTGATGCAGTTTTAATAGATAAAGTAATTTAAGAGGGAGGTTTATATGTATTCATCTAAACATATAACAAAATTGGAGTGTCTGTTTGTAATACCTAAAGAAAAATACAAAATTTCGGGAAAATGATGTATAACGAAAATCGCTTATTTTTTTTGTTTGTCTGTCTGCAAGCCTTGTTAATTTCGGGTAATAAATTAAGCAAAGCTAATTATATTTCCTTTTCATACTTTTTTTTATAAGGAAAGGATGGGAAGAAAAAGTGGATTTGACGGAGAAGCATAAAAAGAGGAAATATGCCCTTTATGTGGCGTCTCCTCATCTGTTAAATGTACCGCTGACTGTTGTCACTTCACCATTTTTGCGGATTCAGGTGGCCACTTGGTTGTTTGTCACTATATTATAAAAAAAATCGCTTTATAACGTGGACATACCTTGGTAAGGTCCATGCCGATTTTGACTTGTGACAGGAGATGCGTAACAACAGAGCCGTGGTTCTCCATCGAGCCCAGGTCGCTGTCAGATTCATCTTCATACAGCGCTGCAACAGACGGGCCTACATTTAACTATATACTATAGACAACTTATTGATACTGTCGCTTTAAACTCAGAGCAACACTTCTCGTCAAGACTCAAGTTACGCGCCAATCTATCCATACTTCTAGTGACATTGACAGCTGTCAGCTAGGGACGTGACGTTTATGCCGATAATCTAGAGTTGCGCCAACCCTACAGCACGGTACTAATTTTGTTCCTAACAATACATTAATGTTAGTAATATCATAAATGCGAAAGTTTAGGTTAACGTTTGTAAGAGTTTGTAGTTGCTGAACGGATCTCTCATCTCGATGTAATTTGGCATGTTTGGAAGAACACATAGGCATTTTTTTTAATTCCACGCAGACAGAGTAGCAGGCGTAAGCGAGTACTATTATTTGAATTAAAGTTTCTTCAAACATTATAAGTAATGTGATAAAACACAGAGTAATATAAAAATCGTAAGGATTTCTCAATATTCGATTCAAAGATTTGCATGTTTCACAGTAAACAACCGACTGCATTACAATAACCAAAACAAAAAGATACAATAAACACTAAAAGAGGTCAATTTGTAATTCAACTACATGATGTATCAGACGATAAATCGAAAGATTTCTCGGAAGACTTCTTAGGAAACGTGTCATTACAAAAAGGTCCTTATTTCCTTTGAATAAACGTCAGTTTCCTGCGACACGTAACGTTGACTCATCCACAACGAGTGCTGTTTGCGAACCGCTTATGAAAACTTATACACAATCGTGCTGAGAAATTGTAAATCTTAAACACGGACACGTACATAAATGGTATTAAACTATACAGAGATAGAAAAGAAATGACATCGTTTTGTACATGTTTCGGCAATGGAAACTCAGCAAGTCTGGGTTGCATAATATACCTCTGAACACAACTCTCTTTGATTTTACAGTGACATGCATCATAATTTATTCAAAACAAACTGTCACCTGCGACTCCGTCCGCGGGAAAATAAAAAAACATGTGTAATTCCAGACCAGACTATCCTGTACATGAGTGCTAAATTTAATCGCGATCTATTCAGCAGTTTAGGCTACCTCTAACAAACATTCATCTAAACTTTCGCATTTATATTAGTAAGCTTAAAATAACGCTTCGTTTAAAACAATTCTTATGACGTTAGAATCTAGATTTGGAAGTACTCAGTTTATAGCCTAGTATCGAAATATTAATCAAATCATTATCATACAATGTTCACAAGACATGCGTCACTAGAGGAAACTGGTTACAAACGGCCGGCCGGCTGAGTGGCGGCTATTGCTAGGGTCTAGGGTTGTCGACTACGTTTTTTTTAATACTTACAAAAATACACAAAACATTAAAACACATTTACACCCAACCTTTGGAATATGTTAATACTGGCATAATTTAACATTTGAATTCTTGTGTTATAAATGTTTTGATAGTACTTACAATTGCATCTGTACTTTATCACCGATTATCGAAAAGTTTTAGCATCAAATTCTTCGCCTTTAAATGTTCAAATTGATTTTTTTACTAAATCGATGCAACCCTAGTTTATATCTCAATCGGGTTACGACCGACGCTTTTGTCCGTCTAATTCTAGCACGTGATTAGAATTAGCTCTTTGATACACCACAGTGCTGGTACGTGGGATGAACTTTTATTACGTGACGTCACCTTTATTACGTTATTATACAATACAATATATTACGATAGCAAAATTTTGATCATAAATGATGTCCAAAAAACATGAACTAAAGTATAAGAAAATAACATGATCATCTCCCCTACCTTATCCTACTCCCGTAGGGTCGGGGCGCCGGGTTTTCGTTCTCCAAATAACTCTATCATCCGTCATCTCAGACATCACTCTCTTCTTAATCATGTCACCTTTCACGCAATCCATCCATCTCTTTCTAGGTCTACCTATACTAATTTTCCTGAGTGTAAAGAACTATTATACTTATAAAATCGGATATATAGATGGATTGCATTTAAAATAAAGATAGTTTTATAAAAATCTCACCATCGTAATCGATTTCTCCATCGTTGGTGCGAGGCAGGTCAGCTGTGGGGGGCGCGGACGCTGGCTCCTGCTCCGCCGCGCCCTCTGCTTGGCAGCTACGCGACACACTGCAACAAGAATACGAGAAAAATGAGTTATAGATGCATATGGTAACATTATACGAGACGCAAACAAAAATTTTAAGTACAAAGATGTAAAAGGATTCAGAGGGGGAGGGGCGATGATATCAAAGCAGCAAGCCTACTTGGCAACCACCAAACCTACGCTACACTAAAGTACATCCATAAAGTTGAATTGACACACGACAAAATAAATACATGCAATTTAGTGTACAAGAAATTTGTAGAGTCCAATGCGAAGGACGCTGATATCTATTTTGTGCAAAGATATCGGTCGTAGTGCACACTGGCTAAGAGTTGCAATTTACCCGGCGCGGCGACCATTAAACCGTACAATTAAACGGAAAACGGTCAACTGGAATTCTAATTTTAAACAACAATGATGACTTTTTTGCATGGAAATAAAGGTCGTAATTGAATCATGTAACAATAAACTAGTGATAAAATAAATTGTTTAGAAATTACCAATGTAAACCAACCAAAAACGTTAAGTTGAATTTGAATTTTACATAACATAAATTTCCACTGTCGAAAAGTACTAAAAGATTATATCTCTATTTTACTTAAAAGAACGAAAGAGATAAAAACATAATTTTTTACAAGCGATTCAGACAATGAAAACTGACACTAAGAAAACGTGACGATCGATATTACTGCGAGTAGCGAGCCATTATCGCAGTAGCGCAAGTGAAATTAGGTTTATAGCATAGCCAACAGAGCTCGACCATTGCTTTGCGATACAGTATAACAATGCAATAGAAGACATATTGAGATACTTTCACATTACACTACTCTATAAATTTGATAAGGATCATATTGATGTGTTACATTGTAGTTGACGGTCAAAATTACACATGTTCCCTTATCATTTTCCTAAATCACATTAATTCAACAGTCCTACATTTGATGGTTTGTAAACATTTCTACATAAAACTTATAATCATAAAGAATTCTGTACTATTTTAGATTTTATTCGACTATTTCAAGTAACTCATATTACTAACATATATCAAAATTTACCAGTGCTAGAATAAAGTCCACGCCTATCATTAATGTTAACTATGCACAAGCTTATTAAAGGCTGGCACTTAGTTTACTTGGCACACTTCCATTTTACAAACAGTAAAGTACAGCCCCTGTGTGCTAAGACAAAAAGTTTTCAGCCACAAAAAAAATCTGCCATTCTCGCGATAAAACCGAACAAAGGAACCCGCAACAAAATCCTGTGATTGGTAGCGTTTTACTATTCAGAATGGTGACCTTAGTAACGACCTTGTCTGCGTATTTACCTTGACACTTTCATGGGGTCAAAATCATTAAGTGTATAGATTAAGGTGTGAATACAGTGGAATTACGAATTTTCGAAGGGTTGTATAGGGGAGTACTGTGATTATCCCTTTGTATAGCGGGGAAATTTAAGGCCAACGTTTATAACAGCAATTTATTATACTTTCAGGTCTTATTGTGGATAATAAGATCGATGTTAACGTAGATTATATTATACTAGCTTTCGCCCGCGACTCCGTCATGGCATGTCATTAGCATGGTAAATAAAACAATATACTAAAAAGGGTTAAATACTACAGTTTTCAGCATATTGACTAATTTAGTTAAGTTCTTGCTAAAAAAAGCGTTTATTATCATTAGTACTATGAACTTTTAGTGAGTTCAATGCCTTTAACGTGTGAAGCCTTAACAATTGGTAACCTTACACTATTCCTTTTATTACATGCCTACCGACAGCTTTCATTAAAACCTACGTAACACTATACTTAGGTTCCTCTATCCAATACAATTAAAAATTTGAAAATCACATTCAGGACATATCCCACCACTGGCTGATAGAGTCTCTATTATATATTTAGGTCCACTAAAACTAACAAGGGCCGCAAAAACTGAGCCGATTTTTAAAACTATTTCAGCTAGAAAGGTAATTTTGTGAGTAACATAGGTTTTTTTATTATTATTTGTAATTTCACGCGGATAAAGTCGCCAGTCAGTATTAAAATAATTACGATTTGTCAAAAATCTACACCGTGTGTTAGCATCTTGACTATCTATACTATATTATAATAAAACGTAAACATTCACTTCTTTGTTGCCTAAGCACAGTACATTTTTGAATAATTATTTCTTTAATAAAAAGCCCTACACTTACGTCACGCTTAAGGCTATATGTTTTCAGGCTATTAAACTTAGGGGGTAAAAAAATTGCATAAAAACCCTAATGTGGGAAAGGGACCATAAGCTACGAGCTGGCAACATCAATGAAGTAAGATTGCAATGGTTTGTCATGTCATTTTGACATTTGCAATTGATAATTTGACAAATGTAAACAATAAAATAAATTCTTTATAATTTCACGCGGATGAAGCCGCACGGGAACGGCTAGTATACTTTAAAACGTACGTTGTGGCTTGTGTGACCAGCTGTTAGTGAGTCGGGGACATTGCCAGGGTCGATAATATCGATTGACACCGACAATGAGCTTTTTGCCAGCTGTTATTGACAGCAAGCTAAACTTGACAATTGTTACTTTACAGAATAGTTATTGATTACAATAAAGTACAATTTATTAGGAGTTTCTATTATCATGTAAGCGCTAAATAAAAGTGAAGGTTGGATTCTGAATATTTTTTACTATTTTGTATTAAATCAGTAAACTTCTAAACCTTTAATTAATCTTTCTAAACAATAGAAAATATTAATTTTTTGGTAACAAGGAGAGGCGTATTAAGCAACAATCAAATGGAACGTAGCAACTCCTTAATTTTCTATATAGATAGTTTTTTTCAATGGATGCGTGGTAAGTTTTTGACATGTTACTTGAAGCTTAAGAAGGCTTTACATACAAGACTGCGCTTAGATGTCTTCTAAGATTGTGTTCACCTAGTCATGGTTGCCAAGGTAAGTAGACCGGTAAATAATCTTATTTTATAATCACCTTATTTATTTTAAACTTAATTAATTAAACAGCGTAAAATAAAATATAATGAAGTAGGGTTTTGCTTTGAAATATATTGTTCAAAATAATATTGAATTACACGTCGGAGGTTGCCCAAAACAGGATTATATTTCTAGAGGCAAGAAATGTAGCAAACGCTAAGGGTCTTTTTAATTGGTATTTAAGCCTTATGGGACATCAAGACATTAATCATACTAATATTATAAATGCGAAGGTTTAGATGTACGGATGGCCTGAATGGCTGAACGGACCTCACGAGAATCTCGGAAGAGGACATAGGCTACTTTCTTTTGTTTCTTTTTCAATTTCACGCAGACGGAGTCGCAGGCGAAAGTTAGTCTTTATCTAATTTTAACAAGAAATAACACCACAGCCCTAGAATCATCGCGATTTTATTGATTCCAATTCATTAAAAACTAGCTGTTTCTCGCGACTTCCTCCATGTGAAATAAATAAATAGTACAAAAAAAAAAGCATACAGACGAATTGAGTAACTCCTTCTTTTGGGAAGTCGGTCAAAAATATAGCCCATGTTAGTCAATGATAACGTAGCTCTTGAATGGTGAGTAAATAATTTAAGTGGGCCTAGTCGTTTTTGAGTTATTTCAATACATGCAAAAACAGAAATTTTCCTCTTTATAATATCACTATAGATTAACATTTTCCCGGTTATTATTTACAACACAAATTAGTTTACCATTTAACCATTTATGTCACGTAAATGTATTCAAATTGGATATAGAAATGCTTTTTATTTTAGTCTTTTACATTTACGTGTCTAGAATTTGCGTGAGAGATCACACGATAAGTGACATGGGGCCTAGAGTAGTGCCTTGTGGGATGCCTTTTAGCGTGTTGTTTTTAAATTAATTCCTAGCGTAAACAGAATAAAGATATTCATCTTTTATACGTTTACGTTATGAGCCTTTGAATGTACATATACTTAAAAATAAATGAATTAGAATAAATCATATTGGTTTAAGAACCCGAACAATAAACTAAGACTCCAAAATCGCTTTCAGTATCTACTTAACATATAAAGTATAGCTGTTCCCGCACGGCTTCGTCCGCGTCAAATTATAAAAAAAACTTTATTTTATTGTTTACATTTGACAAATTATCAATAGCAAATGTCAAAATGACATGATATGACTAACCCTTAGCAATCTTTCTTCCTTGATGTTGGCAGCAACTTATGGTCTCTTTCCCACATTAGGGTTTTTATCCAAAACATTTAACCCCTAAATTAAATGGGCTAAAAATATATAGGCTATAGCGTGACGCAACTGTAGGGCTTTTTATTAAAAAAAGAATTATTCAAAAATATGCTGATATCTTAGACAACAAAGAAGTGTGTGTTCACGCTTTATTATAATTGTATAGATAAACAAAAGACTACCATAAAAGCAAGAAAAAAATAAAACATTATTGATGAAATTCGACAAAGTTTGAAGCAAAGCATGAGATTGAAGTTTGTCTAGAAATTTGTTTTACAATTTCCGATTTGAAATTCAAATTCACGATTCAATTTATGTTTAAACCGGTATTTGAAATCTAGAAATGTTTTAAATCTCGCAGATTTCGATATTTTGATATCTTCCAACATTTCAGACAGCTCAAAATTGGTAAAGCGAAATTTGGAACAGAGCTATAAATAATGAGAGAGAACATAAAAGTTTTTGACCTCTGCCATTTGTTGGCTTACAAGGGACAGGCAAAATGAAAACACAATAAATGAAAATAATGCCAGTTGTGCGCCGCGGGGAGTCTTTTAACATAAAAATATAAGGCAATTCAAGCATAAAAAAGAAAACAGACAAGCTAATTTAATGAATTAATTGTATTTTCAATGCGATAAAGATTCCTTTTTAATTTATAAAAATATAAAATAAATTAAATTTAAAAGATTGCCATTAGTGAATTATTGTTTAGTGCGTAATGTTCTGTCTGTTCATACGAACGTTTGTAAGTCTATAAAACGAAAAATCTGCGATTTTTTACCCATATAATAACTTACATTTAT